TAGTCCTCTGCCATTTTTATTTAATATCCCCTGCCCCTGCATTCTACATCACTTGTTCTTCTTTCTTGTCGCTGGTTGGGCACAAGCACAGGGAAACCCACACAGCAGTTCTCTTCTCTCAGTTTCAGGGCCTGGCATCACAACATACCAGAGCAGCTATTGCAGGGCAAAAGTTCTGTTCACTGCCTGCAGTCCCAGGGTGGAGCATGTGCAATCACTCTTTGAGGATGACATGTGCTATCTATTCACACTTTGAAGCAGTGGGGGCATAGAGTATGCTCAGTGCAGATGCAGTCTTCTGAGAGTCTAGTTGCCAAACTCTAACTAGTATCTACTGAGCAAATTTCAAGTCCCTGCTCCAAATCATGAAGGCACTGAAGCTTCTTAAAAAGATTTGCAGCCCATTTTTTAATGTTGTCAAGATAACATATTTTCCCTTAAACTCATCCTCAGAAACATCTGAAATATTTTTTCCTGAGCTTTTCCAGAAAAAATTCAGAGGTAGATGTCCAAATGCAAAATCAGTTACAGTTAAGGCAAAGTTGTAAGTAATTAAATACAAGGACTTCTAAAAGGAAATGAGGAGCAACTTTATCTATAAGGATTGCTACAGGCTATAATGAGGTACCAATGACAACCAGAAGCATTACCATCATTTCATTTAGACTTGCTGTGAATAGGTTTAGATGGCACAGTAGTTAAAATGCTAGCAGATGTCTAAAGTCTTGTCTGCAATAAGGGCTCACTTCTTTTCTTTGTCACTGGTGCTGCTGTATGGACTTTGGCAGCTATGAACATTTTTTTTCAAGAAAATAGCTAATCTAGACACAGTGAGGGAGAAAGGTATTGAAGTGTCCCTGAAATGAATTCAGAGCCCGTTTGGTTTTGCTTTGTCATCTGATTAAGTAGAAACATTCCCAGAAATACTGAAAAGAGTGCAGATGAATGAGGTTTTAAGTCAGCCTCAGTAGTTCAGTAGTGACTGATTAGTGCTAAGAAAAACGAGGTTAGCGCTGCTTATTTTGTTTGATTAGCATCTTTGTAGGTAAAGTTAATTTTGATTGGACTCTACATTTCAGTGCCTCTTACTGTCACATAACAATGACACGGACAGAATGCTGCATTGGACTCTGGAATGCTTTGCTCATTCAGCTAAACAAAAGATTTGTAGTTTACAGTAAAATTGCCTCCGCTTCTATTGCTTTGCTGCCTATGTATGTTAGTAGCTACAAGACAATGAACTTGAGCTATAACTTAGCACTCCTTGCCATATTTGCCAGATGATATATGTCAGGGCTCTATTGGATATGAGCAGCAAAGGAAATAAGGCCAAGGAAAAGGGTTGTATACTACAGCATTTTTTAAACTGGCTCCGTGTGATATGCTACATTCTTTACAGTACATACTAATTGCTCAGGTTATCTGTTGCTTTTGCTTATAACTGTAGTTATAAGGATCATTCTTTGCTTGCTCTCATTTAGCCAATAACATCTACTCCATGCCCTGAACAACTTCCTTCCCACCTATCCACCAACCTTGGGATTTAAAAATATATTAAATTTGGAGCTACTTTTATTTACCCTTTGACTTCTAACCCACTAGAACCACATTTTCAAGCTTTTATTTGCAATGACGAGGCTTAGGGTGAAATCCTAGCTCTAATTATGTCGATCGGAGTTTTGCCAATGACTTCAAAGGGGGCCAAATTTCTGTCCTTACTTTTTTTCCCCCCAATAAATGTTGATCACCTAGCTCTAAGAGCATGGTCTTTAAGATGCACAGTAAAAGACTGAGAGGTACAATACAGTTACATAATTTGACAACACTGCCAAACCATCCAAACATTCAAGGAACTCTCAGGGGCCAGAGGGGTTGAATGGACTAGCCTTTTTATGTCTATTCACTGAGACTTGACCCAAGATATGAATAAGCTGAGGGGGAAAAAAGATATAAGTGACCTATTTACAAGACCACCAAGATCTCACGTGATGTGTAAAAAACACTAGATATTATCTAATTTCATTGCTGTCATAAAGCGGTAGCTAATGCTCACAGATAAACATTATAGAATTTTAGGTCCACTGTTGCAATGTTTTTTGAAGAGACTTGAAAATGGGCATTTTTACTATGGCTGGCTGTAGTCTGATGATTTTCTCATGGAGCATTAAATCAACTAAGATACATATTGCTAAAGCACCCTCTAGTGGGGCAACGAAAGAGTTGCTTTTAGTAGTCAAGTAGCATTTATTCTTTGTTGTATGTATGCATTAGGAGTAATGCTAAGTAAAGAGATTGGATACTAGTGAGGATCAAGTACAAGGACACTTATAATAGTTTAATTTTCCAAAAAGTGAAAGTCCATTCCCTCAATACCTACCCTGAAGTATTCCTAAAGTGTAGACATATTATTGTTATATACACCGTAGCTGCTCAGGGGCTTTAGAATTTCCTTACTTTGAAAAATTGGAAGAATGACTGTGATTACCTTGCAGAAACTTTTTCATTCTGGATGCAGTCTGCAGTCCTGGTCCCACAAGAAGTTCAAGCTGCAAGTTCAGTATTAACCTTTGTGAGAACCCTGGAGGAAAATTTAGGCATGTGTAGTAAAACATGTGTACCCCGGGTACACCCAAGGGTGTGCCCTACTCTTAATTGGATGGGATGGGTAGGCAGGAGGGGGTGCTGTGAGAGGGATGCCAGAATTTCGAGTAGACCCCTCCTTCCTCTATAGAGTTAGCCCAAGCCCAAAGTTCTTAACTATATACAATTTATTGAGTTGTAATATACATAATCATAAAACTAAATATCATATACATATATTTACACAGTGAACATTATCCAATAAGCAAGGTCAAACCCTAAATAACACTATTTACCCATCACAATAAAACAATTTCAGAAGCATCAACACAATACAACATTTCAATTGACAAAATATAAGGCGCAAACAGGAACAATCTTAAAAACACCTATTCCTTAATGTAGTCCCTGACCCATAGCAAGAGATAGCCCTCCTTTAAATGGGGTCCCTTGTGGGGTGTCCAGAAAGCACCAGCAGCCCTTCCCTTTAGGGCCTTGACTAGGCCGGGGGGGTTGCTCACCCAGCCCCTTCCCTGGGTTTGCCTGCCCCAAATATTTTTCCCCTGTGGGACCAAAGGCCCAATGACTCATGCTCCCTCAGGTGGCAGTGGTCAGGGCACAGCTTGATGGGGTCTCCTCTGTTGCAGCGCCTCTCCAGCCCTCTCCTGCGCTACTGGGCTCCTCCCCGCCCTGTGCCCTGCTTGGGGCACCGAGGGCTCAGCTCTTCTCAACTGCTGCACCACTGCTGCTGGCTCCTGGATGCTGGGCCTCATACTGCAGCACTATTTCCCCATTCCCTGGCTTGGCACCGAGGGCTCTTTTAGCACAAGCCGAGCCCTTCAGGCTCTGGCTGTCCGTCCTTATGCTGGGTGGCTAACCCAAACAACCTCCGCTGCTCCCTGGCTCCGCTCCCTCGTGTGCCACCCTGCACACCATGTGGCCTGCTGGCCCCTGGGGTTGCAGGCTTGAGCTGCTGCTTGCAGCTCCCAAAGCCTGGGCTCCCTGCACTGAACCACGCACTATGATGGGCCTGAGCTGTCTCACACTGCTCACAAGGCCCTGAGCTGTCTCACACTGCTCACAAGGCCGGGTCTCTGCGCACTATCCCTGTGCACTGTCAACAGCCTGAGTGGTCTTGCACTGCTCCCAAGGCTGCTCCTCCAGTGGCAGGTTCAGGGGGCTTGGGGCCATTTCCCGGCAGCTTCAGGAGCCTTGGGCCTATTGCCCGCTGGTGGAGAGCTCCCCAGCCTTTCTTGGCTCCACTCTTCTCAAGTCCCTCACTGCATCTCCCCCTCATGCTGGGCATGCAGCTCCTTTTATACGCTCCAGGGCGCCGCCCCTGAAGTCTTCTGGACCTGACAGTTTACAGTCTTCAGTCAGGTCTGGGAGAGCTCTTCTTCCCCTCCCCTCAGGAAAGGGGCGTGACTTTAGTTCTCTTGCTGCCTCCTGATTGGTGGATGGGCTCCACCAATGAAAACAGCAGGATCTCAAGCCTGGGACTCAACCCAAACTCTGAAAGGCAAGCCTGCTACACATGTAACACTTAAGCATGTATAAATGTTTGTAGAATCTTGGCCTAATACAAGCCTAATCATTGCATATAATACTTAGCACCTGGGTGATAGCAAAGTAGATAAAGTATCTTACTATAGCTCCAGAGGAATCATTTTAAGCCCCACTCTGGACTCTGTCCAAATCTACTCCCAGGTGAATTCAAAGTGATACCTCTTAACCTAGTCTGTTGGCTTGATAAACCTTGGCTCAGCACACAAGGGACTGCCCTCAGAGCTGGTTTCTGCTGCTCATCACACAGGTTCCAGCTGTAGGAAGTTCGTGGTTTCTTTGCTTTGTCACCTGCTCCTCGCGATTTCTGGTTCTTGGCCCTTGAGTTCCTGATTGGCTGGTCTCAAGACTTGATTAGAAAATACCATGTGGCACAAAAAGATTTCTCTAAGGGCTAATACAGTGAACTTAGGTCCTGGGTCAGTGTTACTGGAAACATGTTTGTCTGGCTGTTTGTGACAGAATAGCAAGATTAGAGAAAGTGAGAAAGAAAGCATCAAGATAGCACAAGGCACAGCCCGAATGAGTACTGTTCTGAGGAAAAAGCTGAGAAAATGGGCTTTCCTTTAGCAAGAGAAAATGTATTGTTTTGGAGAGGTTTAGGTTGTAGCCGTGTTGGTCTAAGGACACAGGCAGACAAGGTTCCTTGGGTGAATTTGATATCTTTTATTAGACCAACCCAAATGCAACCATTTGGGTTGGTCTAATAAAAGATATCAAATTCACCCAAGGAACCTTGTCTGCCTTGTTTTGGAGAGGAATTTACGAGTAAAACAGCTCACAAACTCAAGTTATCATTGGGAAACAAAGCAATAATCCAAGAGATTTGGATAACTCCCATTTGCTTTATCCATCCTGTTGATTATGTCCTACCCTTTATTCTACCCTTTATCTGATTATAGCATATAAAAGAAAACACGGAGAAAAAAATAACCCAACCCAGTTAGTAAGCGTCCCAGCAAGTCTGGCTCTAACAGTTTTTTGCCTGAAAAGCTTTTTTTTTCTCACTAGTGCAACCCACACTATATGCATATCACAAAAAATAACTTATTTTTTCTGTTTCCTTTCCCCTTAATAAGAAGGAAAACACATGCATGCATGCATGCACATGTGTGCACACATGCGCACACACCCCCACACACACATGCACGCATGCACACCACTTAGCAACTATGTGAGTGAGCAGCAAAGCAAGCTTTTTGTTAATAAAGTAATCAGGAGTTTCTGAAAGCCAAGAATGTTCCTATATTTGAGCCAAGGTTATTGGTTATGTCTGAGTTTCAAGAAAACAGTATGTTGTTCTGAATTTCTTTTAACAGGGAGAAGACCTGAGAGGGAGTGGCTGGGAGCTGAGCACATGACTTGGATTACAAAGTGAGCGCAGATGCCCCTCCTGAACATCCCCCATTTCGGTCTGGATTGTTTATAGTGAATACTTGCCACAAGCCAGCTCTTCCACCCAGAGCCTGGTTTTCAGCCATTCTGCTGAGTGCCCTCAAGCTACACAAGACTGATGCTTGATTCTGCCAGCCACCTCAGAGCTGTCTGGATTTGGGGAAGGATTAGAAAGATGATAATGCCAAATCTTTCAGAACTGGCTATGTAAAGTTTGGTCCCTGTAATCAACAGTTGGGCACCCAAAAGTAAGGTTTTTTGATTCTTCATATGTGCTGAGCCAATAGTACCTCACTGTGGGCACTCATGTTTGAAAACGTTATGACTTAATCAAGGCCACAAAAAGAACCACTGCCAGGGTTGGGATTAGTCTCTTTCTTTCCCT